AACAGTAGGACTTACTGGCTCCACCTGAGCTGCTGCTCTGAACGAACCTCTTCTCCACGTACTTCTCTCTGATCCACATCTCTTTCTCTGACCTGAAACACAGAGCAGCTCCAGGGATTACAGATCGTCTCAGAAGAGGAAAGTCCTGCAGCTGTTCAGCAGATGTCACGCCTCACCTCGGACTGTCGGAGCCGGGTTTGACTCGTCCTTCCTCAGAACATCTGGCCTCGTAGATCCCATTCACCACATCGTTTCCCAAAACACACAGCAGCTGCAGAAGAAGGTGAATATGTGAAGATCTTTAAATGAAGAAATGATTATTAAAACCTAACATTTCTAATTGGTTTATTTGAAAAGAATGAACTTTTGGCAAGAAAAAACAAGCAGAACCTTTCCATTACTGAGACTACTGGTGGAGACAAAACCCAACTCAATTATAGGATTCTAAAAAATTAGAGGGCTCTAACCGAGGCGGTTTTCAGTTGATTTTGTTGAAGTGAACAAAAGAGGCAATAGTGCATAGATCTGTTATCATAGAGATTTAGATCTAGTTTGAAGACAAAGATGCACAAAAAACAACAAACATTTAGGATGTGACTTATTTCATAAAAAAATAGTTTGTTTCTGACAAAACCTCCGTATGTCAACAATTTAAACCAAACAAATGACAAACTGACAGATCTTTCATCCTACTACCCCAAGCAACTATTGAAATGTGGGATGTCTCGCTCCAATATTAGCCAAAAAACTAAAATCAGTCTCCCCTAGGATTCACAGACTCCCCTCCGTGCCGGGAGTTCCCCACATCCTGATGGCAGGAACTTCTGGTGGAGCGAATCACTGACCATGCATATGGAGAGGAGAATGATAAGAGTGAGGAGAGCCCCAGTCCAAAGCGCCAGAGGCTGTCCAGTCAGTCTGTTTTAGAACAGCTGACATCATCTTTGCCCCTGCCATCTACGCCTTCTCCCTTTTAAAATCTTCCTGTTAAAAGAGTTTTTCCTCTCCACTGTCGCTTTAAGCATGCTTAGTGTGATGGATTACCTTCGAGTCAATGAGATAAACTGGTTTTCCTCAGACAGAAAACTTTGTATCAATTTGACTGTATGATCAGGTGAACTTTAAGTGTCTTGAGATGACATGTGTTGTGAATTGGTGCTCTAGAAATAAACTGAATTGATCGTATTAGCCTGCATCTATAATCTCTAATATTAGATAGCTGATAGAAATACTCTGCTTCTTTTTGAAGAATGGATAATAATAAATAGGTTGGTGGTTCTCATACCTATTTTTGTGAATTATTGTTCTGTTTGAGTTATTTCACTTCAAGC